AGTCTTGGCAGAGTTCTTCCGGTAACAGCCTTGTATCCAGGATGTATTAAGAATGGGCAAAACTCAGCAATGAGAAAACAATACAGTTTTTAGAAATGGGAGTAACATTTGAACACACAACCTCACCAGAGACACGTAATAGTAAATTTGCTGTGAAAAGATGCTCCATACCCTCAGTCCTCAGGGACCCACACGCTGGAACCACAGTGAGATGCAACCTGTCTCATTTGGAAGGCTGAGATGGAAAAATGGACAGAGCCAAGTGCTGGTCGGTGAGGGTGGGGAGTGGCTGGAGCCCTCGTGTGAAGCCGCTCTCAGTACATTCTGGCAGTTTCTTATTAAGTTGTTTTTGTTAGTTGCTGTTGAGTCGGCTCCGACTCATGGTTACCCAATGCTGCCCCGTCCTGCACAACCATCACGATCTTATCAAGTCAAACACCCGATTGTCCCATGATCCAGCAGTCCCACTACTGAGTATTTACCCAAACAACATGACAGCGTATGTTCACACAACAGCCTGGGTGTGGATGTTTCCAGTAGCTCTGTTCATTAGTGCCCCAAGCTGGATACAACCCATCATCCTCCCATCAGCTCTTGATGGACAGATGGCCGTGTCCAGACAGCCTGGGTTCCGAAAGCAGTTTGTGATTGGCTGCTAACTACAAGGTTAGAAGAGACGAGGAAAGATCCTCCCACAGAGCCTCTGGGGGAAGCATGGCCCTGCAGGCACCCTGTATTCAGACCGGGAGAGGATAAGTTTCTGCTGTTTAGAAGCACCTAGTATGTGGAGCCGTGGTGGCGCAGTGGCTAAGAGCTACAGTGAGCTACGGCTAACCAAAAGGTCAACACTTTGAATCCACCAGCCACTCTTTGGAAACTCTGTGGGGCAGGTCTTCTGTCCTATAGGGTGGCTATGAGTTGGACGGCAACGAGTTTGGTTTGGTTTTTAGTGTGTAGTGATTTGTCACAGCAGCCACAGGAAATGAATATAACATGATTCCATTGAAATGACTTCCTGGAAAAGGCAAACCACGGGGACAGAACACAGACCAGAGGTGGGGGGGTGGGGGCAAAGGGGGAAATGCTGACAGGTGGGCGTAGGCTGCAGACTCCAGCCACTGAGGGGATTCTGCCAATGAGCGGAGCAGACAGCGTGTGTGGGTGCCTGGGCCGGGTCTCAGGCTATTTTGTGTTTTCCTGAGCCTCGCCTTTCCTCACAGTGAGTTTTCTTTCAGCTCCCAGCGTGCCTCTCTGCCTGCCCGACCGGTGTTGGACATGCTGCCGGAAGGCCTCCACCCCTGTCCCAGGCGCGGCCTCGGGATCCATGCGTTTATCCTGGCTGGGGCCTCAGAGTGCGCATGGCTCTCCTGGGCAGGGCCTTGGGGTCTCTGCGTCCATCCCAGGAGGGGCCTTGGGTTCCATGTGTCTGTCCTGGGCTGCCTCTCTCCTCCCTATGGTTCACGGAGGGCCTGTCTGAACTTTCCACGGCCTCGCGCCCTGCAGGATGTGTGCCAGGGAGCCCTGCGTAGGGTTCCAGAAAGGCGTTTCTCAATTGCGTGGGCTTTACTGGAAAGGGCAAGAGAGCTGCCAGGCGGCCGATGGCCAGGGCTTTCCAGTGGGGCTTGCGACTTCCTCCCCCTGGGCCACTTGGCCCTGAGGTGCTTCCCTTTTCCCCGCCCTGGGTGAGGGGAGTCCCCAGTCCCCGAGCAACGATGACTGAGTCAGGGACACCCAGCCATCGTCTGGTCCTCCTCGAAGAGCTGGGGTGTGCAGGTGTGGGGGCTTGGGTGCCTTGTGGGGCAGGCATGTGGTGTCGCTGACGAGACCCATCCGGAACTCCACCTCTCCTGGGTTCCGAGGGCTGCCCTGCCTGGCTCCCTGGCCCCTGAAGGGTCGTGCAGAGTTTTTGCTGCTGGAGTCCATCAGGAGAGCCTGTGCCCAAAGGGCCCCCTGGGGGGCCCTCCCTGGACCTTGACCTTACCCCTTAATCGTGCCCCCCCAACCGCTGTGTGTGTAGGATATTTGAGGGGCTAGAGTCACACGGGGCTGGCCAGGGCAGGAGGACAGAACCCCACCCCTCCCCTGCTGTCCGTGCACTTTCCCTCTGCTGGGGACATCACCCTCCCTCTGCCTTGGTCCCCATGTCAAGTACAAGCCCGCAAGGAGGAGTCTCTCCTCCAGTTTCTTTGTTGTCCATGTGTCTGCCATCCCCTCTCACTCACTTTCTGTCACTCTGTGTTAAAATTCACCGCAGCAGCTTGTGTGCTGAAATGGGGCCATACAGAGACATGAGCTCCGTGCAGGCTGGCATGCACGTCTGCAGGGGGCAGTGGCCCAGTGTCCCCCGACAGGTGATGGATGAACACAGTGTGATCCATCTTTACACGGAGTACTACCAAGCCACGAAGAGAAATGGAGTCCTGATACGTGCTACGACGTGGACACACCTCGCAAACGTGGTATTGAATGAAAGATACCAAACACAAAGACAAGTATTGTATGATCCCACTTGTATGAGCTATCTATAATAGGCAAATGCCTAGAAATCAGAGGTTATTAGTGGTTACCAGGGGCAGGAGGAGGGGGAAGGGGAAGACTTTCTTGGGGGGGCACTGATTTCTGTTAAGGTTGATGGAAAATTTTTGGAAACGGATACATGGTGAATGTAATTAATGTCATGGAATTGTATACTTAAATAGGGTTGAAATGACAAATGTTTTGTTAATGTATTTTACCATGGTAAAGTCCTGAAAATATGAAGGTTATCAGGTGAGACTTGCTCCCCTGCCTGGCCTAGAAGTCACCGCTCCGAAGCATAGAGTCGTCATAGAGAGACTCAGCCTGCCCAGGGACAGCAGATGGCACTCTGGGTCATGGTTTATATGCCGTGAACGCACATGTTTTACACGCGCCTTCAACAGGTTTAGGTGTCTGTCGTTACCACAACACGCCCCCTTGAGCTACTCCCCATCTCCTGCTCCAGGCACACGCTGACCTGCTCCCTGTCTCTTTGTTTTTGCCTTTTCCATAAACTTTACATGAAGGGCATCAGGCATGCATGGTCGTGTGTGCTGGGCTTCTCCCGCTGAGTGAGGCGGGGAGGCTTTCTGTGCGGTGGTGGCCACATCTTTGCCTCCCTACTGCCGAGCCGTGTCCCTGTGTTGGTCTCTGTCCACCAAGTGATGGGTGCTGTGGATGTGCGCGAACGATGCTCTGTGTGGATGTGTGTCCTCACTTTTCCCAGGCAGATGTGCGGAATCGGGTGGCCGGGTTGGGCGACTCCCTGCTCTCTGCAGTGGCCGCCCCTCTCCCGTCCCCACCGTAGCCTCTCCAGCACTTGGAGCTGGTCTCTTTCAGTTGCACTTGTGGGTGTGGTGGCATCTCATGTGGCTTCAGTGTGCGCTTCCTGAATGACTTGACGGTGTGAGCGTCTCTGCACGCTCCTGGGCCGTTGGGCACCTCCTTTTTAATGTCTGTCTTTTAACTACATCAGGCTGGGATTGCACAGAGGCACGTGCATGGCCTGCTGGTGGTTGAGGGACCCTTCGCGATGAGGGGAGCTGGCCTTGAGCTTAGCTCTGGGGACCTCGGGCAGGATAGAATGAGTGGCTTGTAGGGTTTGCAGCACAGGCCCCCGAATGGGTCCTGAGCCTGGGTGCTGTTCTCCTTGGCCTGGCTGGGGCCCTGGAGCAGTGGCTCCGACGGGGAGTATGTTCAGTTCATGTGTGGCCTTGGGAAGCACCCGCTGTCCCCGCTACACCCCACTAGCCGTTGAGATTCTTGGCAGAAGAGGGGCTCTCGGTAGAACCAAGGTGGGTATGGTGGCCTCCCCCCTGCGTCCCTGCATGTGTTTCTCCGTGTCCTGCATCCCCCCCCACAGCCTGTGGAATGAGGTCTCCCAGGATCCCGCTGCCTACTTGCCCGCCCTCCATGTGCATGGCCACCTGTCCCTGCGTCTGGCAGTGCTCCTGTCACTCCCGTCACCCAGTGGGCACTGAGACCCTGTCCTGTCCTTGTGTCCCTGTTCATCTGAGGGGGGTCCCAGAGTGGAACTCAGGCTGGTGGCCGGGTGGAGGTCATCCCACCCTTGTCCTGCCCATGCCACAGGGCGCCTTTGTCCACCAGCCTGTTCTCCGTGTGGGGACCGAGGACACCCCAAGCCAGGCCTGGCAGCTGCCCTGGCATTGACGTTCTCCTAGGGGGACAGCAGTGCAGACATGAGTGGTGCAGGGGGCCTGAGACCAGGGGAGAGGCGTTCATGTGCAGAGATGGAGGAGGGGGAGGGCATGTGCCACATGGGTGAGGATGGTGGGGGCAGGAGGGGCCTGGGGGGCAAGTGGGGGCATCTTGATGAGAAAACATGGTGGGTAGGTTAGTGGAGACTAGTGGGAGCAGGGGGTACATTTGGGCTGGTATGGGGGCTGAGGGTGTGGTGGTGACAAGCTGGGATCCCCGAGCCTGGGTTGGCTGCTGTGGTAGCGGTAGTGAGGGAGCTCCTCTGTCTATGTCCATGTGCACTCTCAATCCTGCTGGAAGCTGAGTCTCAACAGCTGAAGCTGAAAGGAAAATTTTTAGCTTTTTAGTGTGTTTTCTTCTGGCATTTAGAAGTTAACCAGCACCCCCAGTGCAGGAACAGATGCCTCTGATGCACCATTGTGGGGTGGGTGGGCGTCAGGGGGCAGCACCCCCTTCTCAGCCCTGGACCCCTGGACTCCCTGGCTCTGGCCCCTCCCCCTGCAAGTTCAGAAGGACGAGTGAGGCCTGGCCTGAGAGACCGTGTTGCCAAAGCCCTGCCTTTGCAGAGCTTGGCAGGGTATGGCATGGTCCTGCTCCTGGGATCCCCTTCCTGGGTCCTCCTGTTGCTCGCTGTTTGCCCCCACTGCAGCCCCCCAGCAGCTGTTGGACCACGGGGCCCCATCTGCACGGCCTGGAGGTGCGTGCCCCGTGTCCTGAGCCTGCTGTCCCCATGTCCGCACTGACATCTCTCTGCTCTCTTCTAGGACTCTGTCTCACTGAGACCGTCGATCCGCTTCCAGGGCAGCCAAGGGGTGAGTCCTCCTTGATTGCACCCAGGCATGTGGGCCACAGGCCAGGGGCATGCCATCTATCCTGGATGCTATGGGTGGGATGTCCAGTGTCGGCGTTGTCCCGGGGCCCAAGGCCGCGGAGAGCCAAGAGGGGGTGTCTGCTGCTGTAGGGGCACCCTGATCCAGGGAAGCCCTGGGGACAGATTGGTGTACTTGTGACCACCAGGCTGGGCTGCAGATCTGTCTGGAGTGGTCCAGGTTCCCAGCGATGGAGGGCAGGGCAGGGGTGGGTTGTAGGCCTCCGGGACCATGTAGATGAGTCCATGCTGTGCCTTTTGGATCAGCAGTTCCAGGAGGTGGGGCCTAGGTACGGTAACTGGGGTGGGGAGGTGGGTGCACTCTCGGTTGGGAACACCACTGGGGCTGTGGCAGGAATGGTCACCATCTGAAACCCTGCTTGACCTGTAGCTGCCACTGGCTGGTCCCAGCCTCAGCTAGGGCCAGAGGCTGATGGGAATTAGTCACCAAGAAGGAGAGCCCAGAGGTGCCCATCCCTTGGCCGTGAGATGTCACTGGGCTTGCAGGGGTGAAGGCGGCCCTGCCCGCCTGCTATGGCTGCAGATGCTCCTGGTGTGGGGCCCAGGGCTTCTGGTCTGCTGGGGAGTTAGAACTGAGTCTCACTCAGCGCCAGGCAGGTCCCACCCAGGCTGGGTCATGGTGGGGACCAACCTGCATGGCCCACAGCCAGAACGTACCACAGCAGGTGGAGAGGTCAGGGATGGACAGTGGGCACGGGACATGGTCAATGAATGGGAGGGAGGAGCCAGGGTGACAGGATCTGAGCTAGTGGGAGGGCTGAGCCCAAGGTCTAGCCAGGCAGGGGTGCTGGGTCCTCTATAGCGTCTCCAGCCTTGGAGGCGGTGGCGCAGAGGGGGTGCTGGTCTCAGTTCTGCTTCACTTTCTGCGAGTCTTAACCACCACCCCACTGCTGGCTAGGTGCTTCTCAGTGCTCGAGCCCAGAGAGGTGGGATGTCCCGTTGGCCCCTGTGGTATTTGTAGCAGGGACATTGGAGACTGCCCAAGACAGCCTCCACAGAGGGTGGCTGGGCTAGGTCCACCGTGTGCCTAGTGAGGGGCAGCCAAGACCTTGGGGTTGGTGGAGCCTGCCCAGTCCATGTTTGGGTGCAGGAGGAGGAGGGCAGTGCTTCGCTTCTAGAAATTATGTTACTCACGTTCTAACGGTGCTCCTTAGAAAGGTGTATTTTATTTTTCCGGAAGATCATTGGGAAATACAAATAACAAAGAAAACAAACCTGACTTGAAAACCGCCCTGACCCAAGCAGACAGGTGCTGCATCTGGTATTCTCTAACATTTTTAGCTTAGCCCACAGCCGCTGCTCCCCCCAACATTTCTGTCCCCAACTCCCTCCTCTGCCCCCCTAGGACTTAATTTGTCTCTTCAAAGCCCCCCTTCCCCCACACCACGAGCCCCCAGGCAGGGTGGTGGGGCTGTTCAAAGGAGAGGGCTTGAAGAGCTCAGGCCTGAGTTGGTTGGCCTGGGCGTGGGACAGAGCCTTTTAGGAGCGGCTCAGGTGCGGCACCGTTGGCCCTTCTAGGTCTCCTGCAGCTCGGCCAGGTATCCGGAACCAGGCAGAGATACGGCCATGATGAGCCTGCTTACTGCTCAGGCCTGTGTGTCTGTCTGTAAAACAGACACACGTTCTGGTTTATAGTGACTCCCACACCCCACTGTAACCTAGGGAGGGGCTGACGTCAGATGCTCACAGATCTGCCATATAGGCCCCCAATGGAATAGATCCACACAGTAGAAGAGGATCACAGGTCCCCCCACACACACACCCTTGGCGCACCTCTGCTCCCCTCAGCTAAGGGAAGGGAGAAGGTGCTACAGGTAGACTGGAGCCCTGTGTGCAGAGGTGAAGAGACAGGATCAAAGAAAGAGCAGAAAGCTGCTCCTGCGGACCTCAGCTCACTCACGCTCCTGTGGGGTCTCCAGGCCCCCACGCTCCCTGCGTCCTGAATAATTCCGTGTCTGAGTCAGGCTAAACCACGAGGCTGCCACAGATGCGTCTCCCAGCTCTCCTGCATTGGATTGGAAACCTGAGCTCCAGCATCTAGGCAGCGCATCTCCAGTTACTTCTGATTGTTGAGAACAGTCACATCTGGAGGGCCGCACAGGACAGGGCAGGGCGGCCAGTGTGTCTGCCAAGGAGGATCTCATCTGCACCCACCATGCAGGGTGGGGTCTGCAGATAGTGTCTGTGTGATAATGCATGAGCGTGTGTGGGTGCATCAGTGGGTGTGCACATGCATGAATGTGTGAGTCTGTATGTGTGTGCACTTGTGTGTGCGTGCGTGTGTGCACGCATGTGTCTGTGTGTGTAGTGGCTCTAGCCCCGAGGCGAGTCCTTGAAGGCCTTTGGGGGTGAGTTTGGGGTTTCTGTTGCTGAATGTGAGTGGGCCAGCAGTCTCTCCTTACAGAGGGACATGCATGTGTTTGGGTCAGACTGAGCTGGCTGAGGCAGGTGGCTGGGTGGGGCTGCGTGTGCATCATCGGGACAGATGGGGACACCTGCCCAGTGGGGCCTTGTGAGGGCCAAGATGCCCATGTGTACGGACCCTGCGGCCTTGGCTCCAGCTCACGCTCAAGCTCAGAAAGGCTGGGTTCACCCACTGTGGTCAGTGCCATGGTGCAGGCCGTCAGTCTGCTGAGGGGGGCCAGGCTCAGGCTACATGCACCCCTAGTACGTCTGCTGGACTGGGACGAGCTGGTGCACCAAGCCCAGCCAGGATCATGGTGTCAAGGGTCACCTGGTGATGGGAGATAATCTGAAGGGAGACAACTGCATGCTCCCTGTGAAGGGGGTACAGGTGGTGACAAGCCTCCCCTAGGTGACAAGTCCCCCTGCCTCCCCTGCCTGCAGCACATCTGTGTCCCTCAGCCCGACTGCCCCTCCGAGGCCCGAACCTTCTCTTTTTACCTCTCCAACATCGGCCGTGACAGCCCGCAGGGCAGCTTCGACTGTGTGCAGCAGTACCAGTCCAGGTGAGTCAACTCACCCTGCCCCCCACCCCACCCCACCCCACCCCACCCTGAGTTCAGCAGTACTGTCCAGGAGAGCCAGCCCACCCCGCCCCACCCCCACCCCCTCTAGGACCGACCCTTCACGGGTCCTATCAGAGCTTGTCAAAGGGGCGGCTCTGAGCCCCAGCCCGGACCCTAGGGTTCCCTGCTTCTCTAGGGGAGGCTGTGCCCTGTGGGGCCCATCCCCTCCACGCCCGAGGGCAGCCCAGCCCCAGCCCTTGCCGTGTCTCACAGCCCTGGGGACGTCCACTTGGACTGCCTGGGCAGCATCCAGGACAAGATCACAGTGTGCGCCACTGACGACTCCTACCAGAAGGCACGGCAGAGCCTGGCACAGGCCGAGGAGGAGACGCGGAGCCGCAGTGCAATTGTCATCAAGCCGGGTGGCCGATACCTGGGTAAGGAGGGGTGGGTGGGGGCGGGGGCCAGAAATCTAAGAGGGAGGAATGGGGTGGCCAGAGTGTCAGCCTGGAGCAGCATCTGGGTCCTGTGCCTCTGGACCCCAGAACACAGTGGGCCCAATACATCAAGAAGTTCCCACTCAGGATCCCTTCCTGCCTGTGCCCTGGGGGTTTGCGCGTGCAGGGGACAGACTCAGTGCCAGCGTGGGCAGCCAGGAAGATCTGATCTTCCTTGGCCATCCCCTCGCCCACCCCTACCAGGCCCTGTTGCCCTCAAGGCGCAGACCGGGGGCAGATGGGCTGGGTAGGAGGTCGATCTCCTGCCCCTGGAGAGGCTCTGAGACTTGGCTGCTTGGAAACAGTTTCCATGAAGCTAAGAAACAGTGTACAGGTGGAGTGGAGTGTGTGTGTGTGCGTGCGTGCGTGTGTCTGCGTGTGTGTGTGCATGTGCACGTGGCCCGAGCAAGGAGCTGGCTGAGCTCTGGCTGGGGGGGAAGGGCGTCCGAGGGGCTCAGGACAGCTTTGTTCAGGGAGAACCAGGGTGGTGGTGTGAGGGTTTCTTTGTAAGAGAACTAGGGGATTTCCAGGCCTCTTTGCCCCTAAGCAGGCATCTGACTCTGTTTGCACCCATGTAGGGGGGTACCAAGCTGCCTGCTCTCCACAGTTCCAAGCACCCACGTTTGCTGGAGCCTTGGCTGGGCTGGTGGGGAGGGTGGCCCGCACCCCAGGGCCCTCAGAGCAGCTCTGTGGTTGCCCTGATGTCACGAAACACTGAAGAGGGAGGGTGGGGTGGGGTGGGGTGGGGTGGGGTGGGCAGCCCAGGTCAGCACCCTGGCCTTGGAGGTGTCTGTCTCCTGTGGGTCGAGGACCCCTTTTTAACATCATAGGGGCTCATACTACTCTCCCATTCCCCTCCCCACTGCAAGGGCTGGGCATTTGAGGGCTGGGACTTGGGCCACCATGGCAAAATCATCCAGACCCTAAGCAGTCATGTCACCCATGCATCATGTGCACATTACACATACGTCATATGTCACGTGTGCGGGAGTGCCTGTGTGCTGAGTGTGCTATATTCCATCACCAGGTGGTGGTCTCACCCTTGGGGCCCCCCACTCAGCACCCTTCCCCAATATGACACCATGTGGAAGGTGCTGCCCCCATGCCTCTCCCCTGACCCAGCTCTGGCTTTCGTTTCAGGCAAAAAGGTTCATTTCCGGAAGCCAGCCCCGGGGCCAACAGATGCTGTGCCCTCCCGGAAGCGGGCCACCCCTGTCAACCCAGCCAGCGCCCTCAAGAAGGGCAGTAGCGGGGGGAGTGGTGGGGGGGTCTCCCAGAGGCCCTTCCGTGACCGGGTGCTGCACCTCCTGGCGCTGAGGCCCTACAGGAAGGCTGAGCTGCTGCTGCGGCTGCAGAGGGATGGGCTGTCACAGCCAGACAAGGACGCGCTGGACGGCATTCTCCAGCAGGTGTGGGGGGACAGGGGGACATACTGGACGGCCTCCTCCAGCAGGTGTGGGGGGATACAGGGACATGCTAGATGGCCTCCTCTAACAGTTGTGGGGGACACGGGGACGCGCTAGACGGCCTCCTCCAGCAGATATAGGGGTACATGGGGATGTGCTGGACGGCTTTCTCCAGCAAGTGCAGGGGGACATGGGGATGTGCTAGATGGCCTCCTCCAGCAGGTGTGGGGGATACAGGGATGGGGACATGCTGGATGGCCTCCTCCAGCAGATGTGGAGGCACACAGAGACGTGCTAGACAGCCTCTTCAGCAGGTGTAGGGGGACACGGGGATGTGCTGGACGGCCTCCTCCAGCAGGTGTGGGGGGATACTCCAGCAGGTGTTGGGGGATACGGGGATGGGGACATGCTAGATGGCCTCCTCCAGCAGGTGTGGGGGGACACAGGGCCGGGACGCACTGGATGGTCTCCTCCAGCAGGTATGGGAGGGGCAGGGACGTGCTGGACAGCCGATGTGGGGGACAGCCTCTTCTTGCAGGGGCAGGGGTATGTGGGGCAGGGTGGAGGGCTGCAGAGGGGTGGGGGGGCTGAAAGGCAGCATGTGGGGGTGCCTCCATGGGCCTTTCTGCCGGGACATGACATCTGCATCACAGCCACGCACGATGGTGGCCACCCAGCATGAGGATGGAGACGGTCATCACAGAGGGCTTCTCAGGAACGCCGCCTGTGGAACCATGTACCTGAATCAGGATGCCTCTCTGTGGACTGGGGCGAGGGCTCTGTGTCTTGGGCTCGCAGGTTGCCCTTTGTGGCGGGTGTGCTCATCTCTGCAGAACAGGCGACTTATGGACGCAGAGAACAGATGGTGCTCACCAGGGCCTGGGAGCGGGGCCCTGCTGCTTCCCACCTCCCACATGCCAGGTTCACAGTGACACCTCCTGTAGCAGAAAGCCCATGCCCAGGCTCGTTACACGGACACCGTTACATGGGCTTATTCACATGCCAGTGCATGAATGCAGTTACACGCCATTACATGGATGCAGTTACCCACCATTACATGGATGCTGTTACATGGGTACTGTTGGGACCTGGTACATGGATGCCTCTTAGAGGCTGGTCCCCTGAGAAGCCGCCCTGTCCTGGGATGATGCCCACCTGTGTTGGGACCCTGGGTGCAGACGGCAGTGCCTGTGGAGCTGCGGCTGTGCCGCCTCTGCCTGCGTGTGGGGTTTATCTGGAGCCCAGCGTCCTGCAGGTGGGGAGCAAGTGATGAGGCCCCAGCTTCTGGCCCTGAGCAGCCGTCTACCCTGGAGGTCAGAGCTGGCAACCCACGTGGCTCCGTGGCCCAGAGTATTCTTTGTCAGAGGGTGTGCAGAACGTCTAGAAACAGGCCCAGTGAGACATCATGGGTGTGTCCTGTGGGGGTATTGGTGGCTCCACCCCAGGAGCTCTGCAGACGCCGAGAGCCACCTGTGCCGGTGGAGAGACCAAAGTGGGGCTGGCGGCTGGAGTCGCTGAAGGGCCCAAGGAGCTGTCCCAGCACATACAGACATGGAGGCCGCTCGTGCCCTCCTGCTGGCCTCTCCAGTTTGCTCTCATCCTGTTTGTTCCCTGGAGAGAGGAGACACGCGAGCACCCATGCTTTTGCCCTCAGCAGCTTGGGACAGTGGAGACCAGCCCTTTGACCCCGCCAGAGCTGGCCTCATGATGTCCTGGGATGCTGGGTGCTGGCAAGGGCTGAGTGGGTGGAGCCTGGGGGGGTGCAACATGGCCTGCTCACCCTGCTGGCCTCCCTGCCTGTCCCCTGTATGCTTGTCCCAGTGGTGGTGGGGTGGCAGAGGGGAGTGGTTGGCCATTACGCAGAGGGGAGTGGTTGGCCTGTCCAAGTCACCAGGCTGCGTGTCGCCCAGGCCTCTCTTTGAGAGTGTCCAGCTGAGTGTGGAATGGACATGGGGGTTGGGAAGTACATGGGCCCTGTGAGGGAGCTGGGAGCATGTTGGTAGAGTGAGTGCACTGCTGGCCGTAGGGCGAGGCCTGCTGAGCCTCCTCGGGAAGCCATCCTGCTGCATGGTGCCTCAGTGCAGGGAGGCCGGGACCTCGTTTTGCTCCCTGGAGGCGCCCCCTGGAGGAGGACGGCCGAGCACACAGCCCAGTCATACTCTGGAATGCCACTCGGCCTGAAAGACGTGCCTGGGGGCAGCAGCAGTGGGGGCCCATCCTCAGGAAACAGCGTTGGTGGGAAACATCGCTGCAAGGTGCACACTACTGGTTGCTTGGGGCCTCGAGGCTACCCTGGCAGGCTCCCGGCTCGCTGCAGTCCCCTCAGTGCAGATGGTCACTTCCTCCTTTGCACGGCCTTGGCACCCACTCAGTGTCCTGTTCTCAGTGAGCGCAGGCTCAGTCGGCTTCGAAGTGTGGGCTCAGGCCTGGCCCTGGGACCAGGATGGGTGACAGTTTAAGATGGAGACCGCAACCCCCTCTGGGAGCCAGCCTGGGTTGCCATCCACCTCCACCAGCGTGTGTGTGTGTGTGTGTGTGTGTGTGTGTGTGTGTGTGTGTGTGTGTGTGTGTGT